ATTTGCTCATCAAGGCTTCTCCTTTTTTTGTCCCCCTTTTTCGTTTAGTAAGGGATTTGCCTTTTTTTCAATGGGAGTGTAGTGCGGGGTTTGGAAAAAGAATGGATTTTGAGTAGCCAATGCCATATTTGGGTGATTGGAATTCGGAGGTTTTTTCGGTGAATTTTTTTGAGAGACCGAAAAAGTTCATCAATGTCTTGGGCAAGTCCGGAAGATATCTACCTCTCTACTTCTCTTGCTAATTATCTTGACAGTATGCTTTCTCTCCCTCCCTTAATTTCCCCCACATATTGATTCATATATTTCGATTGATAGTTGGTTTTGCATTCGGTAGGTGTTCGAAAGTTTTCAGCTTTAAGGGTTTTGGATTGAGATTTTTTCCAATTGGTGTTGAACATTGTGTAAAACTAAAGAATTGTTGTGCCAAGTTCGTGTGATATTAAAATTTTCCAATTCTGGTTTTATTATGGGCAGATTGATTGGGGTGCTTTTATTGTGGTATTTTGCAGTGGAACTTGGGTTTTTCCTATATAATTTAATCTGTTTCATGTGCTTCTGTGTTGCTGAATCATGGGTTTGTGCATGAGATTGGTGTACTGTTCAATACTTTCAACTGTAGTCAGGAAGAATGTTATGTTGTTTCTTTATCTCCTTTTCAGTTATATGTAAGATTCAAATACAGCTGGATTTCAATCGTACGTTTAGAGTTACTGAATTATTTTGGGTGTTTCTGGTTTGTATCCTGCAAATTATGAAGGGAAGATTATGCCAATAAGCTAAACAAATAATGGTCTTATACTTGCTTTTTATTAATTATTGAAGTTTCTCTTATGGTTTTTCAATGTTTACACCAAATTATGTTGGGAAACATCACTCTGAAGGGCATAGAATATTAGAATATGTGTATGGTATTTAGACTTAATTTGGTACAAAGTTGTAGGTTTTGGGCACTTCTTTCTCCATGATTTTGTTTAGTTCTTATTTCTTATTTCTTAACTTTGTTTATTATGCAGGGAAACTGCTTGTAATGCTACGTGATGGTCGAAAGCTCTTGGGAACACTACGTTCCTTTGATCAATTTGGTACAGATATCTTTTTCTTCTTCTCCCTAGGTGGTGGTGGCTTCTCATGATAAAATTCTTCTATTGTAGTTTCAGAAAAGATATGATATTCTTTTGTTGTTGCAGCCAATGCTGTTCTTGAGGGTGCATGTGAGAGAGTTATTGTTGGTGATCTCTATTGTGACATCCCTTTAGGTTTATATGTAATTCGTGGAGAGAATGTTGTTTTAATTGGTGAGCTGGTATGATTTCTAGTCTATTGGTTCAATAAACATTTCCTCAAATATTCAATACCATTCTGCACGCTCATGGTTTGAATTTGATGTGCTAGGATTTGGAGAGAGAGGAACTTCCTGAACAGATGACTAGAGTTTCAGAGACAGAAATTAGGAGAGTAAGTCTTATACCATTCATTTCTTAAAATTGTGTGTTTTTTTCTGAGACCATAACACTAGCATTTGAAATATATCACCTTGACTGACTAATGGCATATGTTTTTTTTCTTTCCTTTAATCCTTTTATTTAGTATTGACAATTGGTGGTTAAATCACTTCCTATATGGACATGGAGAGGGAATCAGAGACATTGCAACTCCACAAACTAGAGCTTAGACATTGCTATGCTTCATAAACGTACTTGGAGCATGTTTTACTATGTCATAGTTTTAGAAGGTTACCATGTAGAACACCATAGGGTAAAAACATAGATGAAGTAGATAAAACTTAGGTTTCTTCCTTAAATGCCCACAATGGCATTTAGTGATAATAATGCTCTAAATCATTTTGGTGTGAGCAAGATGGTGAGGTTAACCTGGTGTTTATTGATTATGTTGCCCTCTGTGTTTCAGTAAGAAAGACAAAACTCAACATATTTTAACCCATGCACCGTGGTAGAACGTGTGAAACATAGAGTGAATCTTATATCATCTTTATAATCACATAAATATGGTTTTTGACTTTTGATACATTGACACAATTGCAGTTTTTAACATGAATGTTCTTCATTTTCATAATGTAGTTAGGGAATATTGACAGGTTTACACTGTGAGATGTTCTTTTATCCATTGATATTCTTACAACCTTATTCTGAACATCATTTGAGGTTTTGAACAAACTCCTTTCTCTCTCTCTAGGCCATCATTGTGAAACCTTATTTTGTAGATGATTCAAGAGTTATCTCTTTAACCTAAAAATGAAGGAAAACTGGAAACGATGAATTTCTATTGAAGTCACTGCAAATGATGGGTTTGTGATAATATCCCTGCTAAACTTTGGCAGGTTGGCTGTAGGTAATTAGGTATCAAGCCAAATATGCCTTTGCAGTTGCACTGCCAAAAGACGATTACTCGATAACATAATTTTAGTATAATTGTTGTCTGGTATGCCTACATATTGTTGTTGTGCTAGCAAGGCCAATTATCTAGCTGATAATGGATACAGATACCCATGTGTTTTATCAACAGCTCTCAGATTGCTTCTCTTAGTCTTTGCTCATGTCTATTTTCTGCAGGCCCAGAAAGCTGAGAGGGAGGCTTCAGATCTTAAAGGTTCAATGAGGAAAAGAATGGAGTTCCTAGACTTGGAGTAAATGCACATACCCTGCATCCATTGCTAATTGTCCGCGAGTTTTTTTGGCGGCTGTAGGAAATTCCAGGATAATGGGAAAAACAGTCTCTCTGTCTGAACATGGAATTTATGTAAACATTTGAAACAATTTACTGCACGAGGTTTTTTGTTTGAGATACGATTAATTTATATGATTAAAATTATCAATCTAATATTTACCTCTTTCAAAATGTTAATATTATTGAAAATTATACTAACAGTATGTTTAGGTTTGAAGTTATTAAAAAAAATT